TAATTAAACTTGGATCATTTTTTTTCTCTCTCTCTATATACTTTAAAAATTATTATTTTATTTTTATAGCTGAATAACAAATTACTTTTAGTCTATATTTCTATATTATTCACTATTCTTATATTTAAAGGTTTTCGGGTATACTACACAAGTCTTGTACTTCTTTCATAAGACCTCTACTTTTTGCCAATTGTTTTACATCGAAAAATACTCACTTCGTGTAAAATTAATATCTATTGGGAAAAATGATGTAAAGAAATGACGAATTTTCCTTAAGATGAGCTTACATTTGAGTGTTACACTATTATTACTGACTGTTTCACTGTGTTACTGTAATTTAGTATTAAGGAGAAGCCCAATATCAAAGTTTCTAGATACCATGTTTCTTGTATTCTGAAAACAAGTTGTGTAGATGAAGTATTAATTAATATTAATGTAATTCATAAAGGTATCCAATTTAACAAATATGTATATCGTTGGCATCGTACTGATGTGCTATAACTTTATTTTATCAGGCGGTTCACTATGCAAGTTCTTTTATAGGATACACCTAGAAGTACCGTCATAATATTAACAGGGATTGTATATATAGTAACCCGATTGTTATATTTCAAAGGTTTTAATTAATGTTAAATTGACATAGTAATAAATATTTTTAGATTGCCCAATAAGATTGACGATGGTTTGTTTGTTAAAGTTTGCCCAAAGCTACATTAGCCGTCCCTAATATTGAAGTGATAAAGTTTGCCCAAAGCTACACTAGCCGTCCCTAATATTGAAGTGATAAGCTAAAAGGAAAGTAGCTAGTCGATAATACCCACCGCCAAATTTTGGCCAACTTATTTTCACACAAAATAGTAAGATTTGCCTCACTCACGGCTTCAATGTGTGGAGCATGATTTTTAGTTTGGTTGGAACTGGATGCGAACTGTTGGATCTCAGATCTACAGTCCGGTACGCTAACCAATGGAAGACACTAGGTTCTTATTACCGTGAAACGGGTTTTCAGTAAAACCGGTATGATATGTATACCTTATCTTTTGTCTTTCCCAAGTCACTCTGCCCGGGAGACTGAGTTAAATATTAGAACTTCTCATCTGGGCCGAACCTAGAGAATATTCAATACATATACATATAAAACTATAGTCAAACGTGATTTTAATTAATTTTTACTATACCTGAAAATCTTCATTAAATCGCCAACATGGGCGTTTAACAACATCTCATTGAATTGATTGTACTTTGTACAAATAGCATTTGAGTTATAACTTTGGTTGCTATAGGTACAGTCTAGCATATTTATCCTAGTATTGAACGAAACATCCCTTGGATAATGACTTGTAGCAGACAAAGGATAAATATGAAATTTATTATTTCATTATTCTGACTCGAAATCAGCACTAAATCTTTAAAAGGGGAAAAACCTCTACTTTAAACGTTATTTTAATCAGCACTAAGTCTTTGAAGGGGGAAACCTCTACTTCAAACGTTATTTTAATCAGCACTAAGTCTTTGAAGGGGGGGAACCTCTACTTCAAACGTTATGTTAATCAGCAGTAAGTCTTTGAAGGGGGAAAACCTCTACTTCAAACGTTATTTTAATCAGCATTAAGTCTTTGAAGGGAGAAAACCTCTACTTCAAACGTTATTTTAATCAGCCCTAAGTCTTTGAAAGGGGAAAACCTCTACTTCAAACGTTATTTTAATCACTTTTGCATGTAATTTGATTTAATCTATAATGTTTCGAAAATATAAAATATAGTTTCTTCAATTAATTTTTATTTATTTTTTATCTTAGAACTTCTACAATAGATTGAATCGTTTGTATCTATAAATAATTTTGGCTGTCATATCAGCTGTTCATTTTTCTTCGTGTTTACATACATCACTTTATATGGATAAAATTATTAACAGCATACGCTTTTGACTACAACATATCTTTCTAAGTTCCTCGATATTCTTAAATTTAACTAATAATAATTATAGATGTTTAATTTGCTTATGTCCATTTGATGAATATTTTACTTATGCCTGCATAGTAGTTTACTAAGATATTTCAAGGAGAAAAATTTGTTAAAAAACTTAACGTGAGCAAATCACGTAAAAAACTGATAATATCATAAATTTATTATTAATTAATGCTCAAAATGAAGCTAAATTATCTTAATGCAATTTCTCAGATGGTAAAGGTTTGATTATTTTAGTGAAATAATTAATGCTATCTATAAGTTACAACTTTCATACCCTGAAAATTACGTTACATTTTCTTGTTATGATGAAGTAATACAATCAATGTTTCAATAATATTTAGCGTAAATGATATTCAGGGTTTTTTTGTGTATACATAATATATGAAGCTATACTATACAAAGTGTAAGGATCTTATTATTAAAGAAATAAGTTATTGTGCTCTTCTTTTGCTCAAACCAAACTACCTCAGTTTCTCAGAGGAAAGTGCCTGGAACCTCATTCTCAGTCCCTCGGCCATTTTTTTTCGCTCGGAAGCATTCTGTTTAGCCAAAGGCTTCCTCACCTTTATTTTATTTTATTCTTTGACGTTTATTTTATTCTACTTTTGTCATTTGTTTGGCAAAGTTTTCAACCTCATAGCTTGGTATTAGCTACGATAGTTTGGTTACAGCATTATTTCCAGGCATTAGTGCAGTATTTCATCAGGTAAATCTTTAATCATGACTATAGCTCAAATTCACAACATTAAATTAAAAGCTATCTTTCCTCTGTTTTCTTCAAGCTAGAACTTTAGTCCTGGGATGGAATGTGTCAAGACTGAGGTCTTATTTAATTATGATTCAAGACCACTGCATCCTTTATTTTGAATTTTAACTTGAATCAGGATCATGTTTGGTTGAATGTTTCTGGCACTTCTATTAATGAACTCAGCCTTAGTTTACAGGTCTACTGCAGCTGTGATGAACTCAGCCTTAGTTTACAGGTCTACTGCAGCTGTGTTTAGACATTTATTTTTCTTTTTTTAGCCTTAATGAGAAATTCTCTTCTAAATGAACCACAAATGATATATTTCACCTTGATTTCGGTCGTTTTTAGTTCTAGAGTAATCTATTGTCTGAAAATTTGCCAAAGAGGACATTTTACTCTATGAGTCGTTGTCTGTTTATTAACAGAATGGTTTGCTTATAAGAACTGCTGTGGAGCGTCTTCTACCCTTTTATTTATCTTTTCTTTCTGTTTTCCAAATTGTCTACTTTTCTTGACTTGGACTTGTTTTCATAAGAATAGTTTCCCTTTTGACAATTTCAGACTATTGGAATGCAAGAGTAGCTAGGTTTAATTTTTCTCAACATGTTTTATTTATACTTTTGGTTAAGAGTCCACAGTTTGTTGCTATTTGAATATCTTGCTTCCCCATCTTTATTTAATTTTCTTCCTGGACATTTATTTTTTCCTAATTTTGTCATTTGTTTGAAAAAGTTTTTGATTTTGGAAACTACATTATTTCCAGGTGCTAGTGCTATTTCCAGGTATTTCATCATGTAACCGAATAAAATTTATATATATGATTGTAGTAGGGTGCTGAGGAGTGTGGAAGGCAAAGGTATCTTCTCTACTCGACTGTAACAATAGTCAAACCTATTTGTTCTTGAACTTGTAATTGTACGCATTCCAAGACTTCATAGTACTTAGCTTTCTTTCACATCTGCTTCTACTTTTCACTGTTTATTTCCTCCTTGATCTTCCTACAGTAACTTGATAACGATTTAAGCTGCTAACAATTTGAAAAGTTGTAGCCAAGTTATTATCTACACTAAAAAAATGTTTTAAACAACTCTTAATTAATAATATTATTTATAGGGTGAATAAAACACTTTAGATATTCCTGTTAGTTTATTGCAAAGTGAGTTTGTAAGAGGGAAGAAATTATATAACTCTGTTTCCAGGTGTCATTGACCTTATTGGGGTGGTACTAGAATCTTGTGAATATCCCAAAGCCACCCACCCACCTTATGCTTTTGTCTCATGCTCTAATTTTGAGCACGTGAAAAGATACCTAAGATAGTTATTGAATACAGGAGTAGTCTTAAAAACACAATAATTCATGTCAACAAGAACATATTGTAGGACGTTTCAAAATGGCGGAGAAAATGGAGGAAAGCTTGTTGTGATATTTAAAAACCAGAGAAGTTAGACGGTGTACAAACTAATGAGATTATCAATCTTACGTTGATTTTAATTTTATCAAAGCAAGATTATAAGAAACCTTTAAAATAATAGGTTTTAGTAAATATTGAACGAAAGAAGCTACACTTACATGATGTAACAGAAGAGTAGCGTAGGAGATGATACTTGTGGTGATGACTGACGAACTGTAGAGAAAGACTCAAAAGTTTGTATACTTGAGAGAATCAGAAACAGTTGATCAGCAATCAACTATACTTTATGGCCAAGAAGTGGTCTACTATCAGTTATACTTTATGGCCAATCTTTTTGTAGTAATACTCTATTTTATTGGTCATTTGAATTCTGGTTTTATTAGTTGGTTACATCGTGATTATGTCAAAACTGAATGCCAGTCGTTCACGATTAAATAATTTTTCTCCCGACGTCATGACGACTCGAAATAGTATGTGTTAAACCTAAATTGATAAGAAGAATCCGTATAGTTAAATAATTGGTACTTAATTCATATCTTATACTTTAAAGTATATGGTTTGCTATATATTGACGATTTTGATAATACAGAATAACAGTTATGAGCAGTTTGAACGAAAAATAGTCCAAGTAGATAAAAGATTTGAGCAATAATACGTTCCCAAAAAATCAATGAAAACATAAAAAAATATATAAATTATATTTATTCCTAAGTATTTAATATAGTAATATGTTTCTACATTTTATCTGTTTCTATATGGATAACTCCAGATAATTTCACATTAAATTATCGAAACTTATTGAAGATTTATAATAGGTTCACTATATTCTTTTTTCAGTCTTTGAATGAGCCGTGTGGGGTCTAATAGATAATGTACCAGGCTGCGTATCGAAAAGTCCAAGATTTGATCCGTGATATGTCACTGAAGGTACTCTGTACTTTCACCTGTGACAACGATGTAACTCTGCTAATGACTCTCGCTATTCGGCTAAGGTTAGGTAGAGGAACAGCTGACTAGTTGTCCTTCTCTTCAGCAGTTCTAAATTAAGGTTAGCTATGTCTGAACCTTAGGAGTCCTTTGGTAGATTTTGAAATATATTTATATTAAATCTCTTCAGCTAAGAAAAACGAAACTTCCTTTGGTAAGAAAGAATTTATACTCAGCTTAATTCTCTTTTTGTTTTTCTTTAACTTAGAGATTTTATAAACTCCCTTCTCCCCAGTGGCTCAGCAGTAAGTCTTAATAATTATATCGCTAAATACCGGTTATACCCGTTGTGGGTATAGCACAACTAGCCCATTGAGTAGCTTTGTGCTTAACAACAAACAAGACATTGTAATATATTTAAATCACATTAAACTCAGTACAATTTGTAGGCATTTTATAAAATATCATTCGTGCAAAATTATGACATTCTACATAAACAGAAATGCTTTATATATCCGAAAAGTTAAATTTATATAGTTATTAAATTCAGTTTTTATATTCTTACATAAGATATTCCTACATTTACAGTCAGTTGTCATACTACAGAATAAGAAGTTGTGACTATTTCTGAAAGAAAGCGCAAGTTATGGCTCATTGAAAATGTTTGTTACTCGCAGATGAGCAAACACGCTCGTTACACGAATTAAATAAAGCTCGTAATGTATCTAATTATATAATGAATTTTCTTACTTACCAAACAGTATTGAGCGTTTACACCAGGTGCACAATGAATGATTTCTGTAATTCGTTGCAGATGTAAATATACATTAACCAATTCAAGTAAAATGAAAAATGTCAGAATACCCAAATAAAGTGTTTTAATAATGATTGAGGTTACGAAAAACGTTTACATATATAAGAAAATATAGAAAGTCAGTCAGTTTATGTTGTAAACGCCCTTGTTAATGAAATAATAAAAAAATGTAGAGTTTTCAGCTGAATATGAATATTATGTGGCTAAAAAAAGTATCGTTTTAATCCTATATAGCATTGTCGATGAGGCTTAAGTTCCTTGTAGGTCCATTACTTTGTTGATTATACGGTCTCTAATAACATATCAGTCATAACCAAAATGTAAACAGAACTTTATCAAGCTTGCAATTAATTCCACGAATCACCGATGAAGTCCAAAGACTTTTTTTATGTTACATAGAATATTAGTAATTTCACCAATTTTCTTTGGTTAGTTCTTTAAGGTGATTGTTATAACAGGCAAAAACATGAAATTTCTATGTACGATGCAATGTGCAAAAACCTGTTGCAACATTCTGTTTCAGTTTTCCTTATTGTATAATACTAATCCACCGTTCACAGGTAAGGATGGTTATTACTTCCAGTTTAAAACTTATTCCAGTTCCGGCTTTCTTCTGAGTCTTTTCTCTAATAAATTTGCAGAGAATGAAACGTATTTCATTGTGAAATCCTCAAGAAGTGAAAGTAAATAATATCATTTATGTGTTGATGAAAATGAAACTAATTTTCTAAACTATGACGATAATAATGGAAAAAGTATTTACGAAGAAGTAAAGAACTGGAGTAATTTACGACACCAACTGGGCGAATATAATTTACAAATGTTAACAAATACACCCCAGTTTCATCTAAATGTGTTTGTTGGAGTTTAAGGTTAAAGCTACACAGTGAGCTATTTGTGCCTTCCTCATCAAAGTTTTAAATCCAGTTTTTGTAGAGTATAAGCCTGCCAGCTTACAACTGACCCAAAGATGGGGGGGGGGGGGTACCGAATATATACATACAATTATTTGCACCCAATTTATTCATTGAGTAGACTATTACGGAGGAAATGCTGAAGTGAACAATATTCACAGAGTAGACTATTACGAAAGAAATACCGAAGTGGACAATTTTCATAGAGTAGACTATTACGGAAGAAATACTTAAGTGGACAATATTTATAGAGTAGACTATTACGAAATAAATACTGAAGTGGACAATTTTCATAGAGTAGATTATTACGGAGGAAATACTGAAATGGACAATTTTCATCGAGTAGATTATTACGGAGGAAATGCTGTTTTCATCCGTAATAGTCTACTACATGAATATTGTTTTCTTCCACTTCAGCATTTCCTCCGTAATAGTCTACTCTATGAAAATTGTCCACTTCAGCATTTCCTCCGTAATAGTCTACTCTATGAATATTGTTTACTTCAGCATTTCCTCCGTAACAGTCTACTCTATGAAAATTGTCCACTTCAGCATTTCCTCCGTAATAGTCTACTCTATGAAAATTGTCCACTTCAGTATTTCCTCCGTAATAGTCTACTTCATGAAAATTGTCCATTTTAGACAATTTTCATAGAGTAGACTATTACGGAGGAAATGCTGAAATAAACAATATTGATAGAGTAGACTATTACGGAGGAAATACTGAGGTGGACAATTTTCATAGAGTAGACTATTATGGAGGAAATGCTGAAGTGGACAATTTTCATAGAGTAGACTATTACGGAGGAAATGCTGAAATAAACAATATTCACAGAGTAGACTATTACGGAGGAAATACTGAGGTGGACAATTTTCATAGAGTAGACTATTACGGAGGAAATACTAAAGTAAACGCTATTCATAGAGTAGACTATTACGGAAGAAATGCTGAAGTGGACAATTTTCATAGAGTAGACTATTACGGAGGAAATGCTGAAATAAACAATATTGATAGAGTAGACTATTACGGAGGAAATACTGAGGTGGACAATTTTCATAGAGTAGACTATTACGGAGGAAATACTAAAGTAAACAATATTCATGTAGTAGATTATTACGGAAGAAATGCTGAAGTGGACAATTTTCATAGAGTAGATTATTACGGAAGAAATACTGAGGTGGACAATTTTCATAGAGTAGACTATTGCGCAGTAAATGCTGAAATAAACAATATTCATGGAGTAGACTATTACGGAGGAAATACTAAAGTAAACAATATTCATGTAGTAGACTATTACGGAATAAATGCTTAAGTGGACAATTTTCATAGAGTAGACTATTACGGAGGAAATGCTGAAGTAAACAATATTCATGTAGTAGACTATTACGGATGAAATACTGAAGTAAACAATTTTCATGTAGTAGACTATTACGGAAGAAATGCTGAAGTGGACAATATTCATAGAGTAGACTATTACGGAAGAAATACTGAGGTGGACAATTTTCATAGAGTAGACTATTACGGAGGAAATACTGAGGTGGACAATTTTCATAGAGTAGACTATTACGGAGGAAATACTGAGGTGGATAATTTTCATAGAGTAAACTATTACGGAGGAAATGCTGAAATAAACAATATTCATAGAGTAGACTACCACGGAGGAAATACTGAGGTGGACAATTTTCATAGAGTAGACTATTACGGAGGAAATGTTGAAGTAAGCAATTTTCATAGAGTAGACTATTACTGAAGTGGAGAAACAAGAAAAGAGGAGTTGTTTTTTTATGTAAAATGGAAACATCTGGGTTCTAATGCACTAAAATGTTCCTTTCATGTGATGGTGCTTATAAAAACACAGCAGTCGATCAGACATATTCTGCTTAATACTTCTGTTTCCTAAATTCATCTTAAAATAATATATAACATAATATAATGTTTAGGGATAACATGGGACCTATTAGTCTATCTAGACTGTCCCATCCTCTAAACTAAACTAAAACTATTAAATAAAAAAATCACTAAAAGCTAGCCCTTATCATTCATTTAGTTATCAAGCTTTCTCTTAAACGCACTTAAATTTTTATGCCTCCACAACATTTGAAGGCAACCCGTTCCAAAGGCCAACCACCCTGTTAGAACAAAAAACTGTCTTAGCTGAAGATGACTCCTACCCTGTCAAAATTTATATTTGTTTCCCCTAGTCCTACCATTCTTACCACTAGTTATAAAACAAAATGAAGCATCAACACTATCATTTCCCTTTAAAATCTTAAACATCTCAATCAGATCCCCCCTAACTCTTCAATTTTTAAGTGAAAACAATTTGAGAGCTTTCAACCTCTCCTTATATAACAATCTCTCCATCCCAGGCACCATTCTAGTTACCCTTCTCTGCACTCTTTCCAACAATATAATGTCTTTTCTAAGGAGCCCAAGTCTGAAAAGTTCCTACCCCATCCTAATATATTATGTGCCCTTAATGTATCTAGAGAAATCATTGTTGTTATTTTTACATTTTCAGCCATACATTTTTCATACCCTCTTTTTGATGTTCTAATTTCCTGTTTGACCAACTTTCTTGATCCTCTATGATCTTCTAAGTCTCTTGTCATACCAGTCAATTTCAATTTCTTAAAATTGTGATACTTTCTTTAATTTTATTCCGTATACCCTTTGTGAGCCTACCTGGTCTTTTACTTGCAGCCACCCTTTTTTTTTCTATGAGGAAGATGTTTATCTTGAATATCTAAAAATTTACCTTAAAAAAATTTCCACATTTGATCAGTGTCTCCAAATAACTCAGCTGCCCAATTCACAACAGACAATTGTTGTCGTATTCATTGAAAACTTATTTTTTTATATTTGTAACTAAAATATTATTCCTGGTCTCCATATGCAGCAAAGCATCGAACCTAATAGAGCAATGATCACTTGCACCCAGATGTTCCCCAATTTCCACCTTATTAACCATTTCTATGTTAGTAAAAGTTGTCTATTTTGTAGACACTACAAAAGCAAATAATGCATCAAGAAAACAAAACCAAAACCAAAAGATGCAGACCAAGTGCATTATATTATATTTCATTATAATTGAAAATGTTGTCGTTGTAAGTTCCATCCTCGAAAACTGAACACAAAAATGTGAAAATGTCAAACTTTCGTGTGTAATAACGCATTATCGTACGATATTATGTGGCAGTTCTGATAGTTGAAATATATTTTTCAGTTTATCGATATGCTTTTTTTATTTTCATACTACTCTCATTTTCTAAATTGTAAATCAAATTTTGAAGCTTTCTACTGGCGAATGTTATTGTCTAGTGAACTGGGCATCAGTATAAAAACTCACAGTTATTAGAACTATAGATAGTGTGATTCCTCGTATATAGATGCTTGGGGTTCATATGGATCCCACTGTTAATGAAAGGTATATAAAAATCGGCAATTTGAGGTTAATAGGCTAATATCAGCCCGCTTATAGCAGCACCATATGTTTGAGGTTAATAGGCTAATATCAGCCCGCTTATAGCAGCATCATATGTTTGAGGTTAATAGGCTAATATCAGCCCGCTTATAGCAGCATCATATGTTTGAGGTTAATAGGCTAATATCAGCCCGCTTATAGCAGCATCATATGTTTGAGGTTAATAGGCTAATATCAGCCCGCTTATAGCAGCATCATATGTTTGAGGTTAATAGGCTAATATCACGACCCGTTTAATAG